GGCACTTAACAACAACTGTGGGGGGAGCAAAAAGGAAGACTAGGGGAAGGATGGGTGATGAAAGAACTGCTGTTTCCACGGTGTGCTTGGGGTCTCTCTGCAGAGGTGATGGTTGAGCAAAGGTTCTTTTGAGACCCTGCCTGCTGAGGTCAGGGATGATCAGAGAAGGGTTTCAGGGCAAGGTGGCATCCAGTTGGGTTTTGAAGGATGAATAAGAGTTTTCTGGTTCTTGAATAGAAGTGTGCTTGGCAGTAATACAAAAAGTACTTCGAAAATATGTAAAAGTTTCAATGATATGTGTTCATGGATAGAAACAACTGTGTGTATAGTTTTCTCTGTCACATAGACATTGGAAACTTTCTGTCCTCGTAATACAACTGGTATAGTGAAAGAAAAAGAGAAAGAGAGAGAAAAAAGGGGGAGGAAAGAAAAGAAAAAGTTGAGTGCTTGTTATGTTAAGGAATCTGTTATCGTTGATGCTGTTAAGTTAATGGCCTGTTCTACCCTGTCACCAAGACCTCGATGCTGGCAACCCATTGGGAGGATCCTTCCAGAGTGACCGTGTCTGTGATGTGTGCTCTCGTTTGCCACCAAACTGCCCCTCATACTCCAGGTGAGAAAGCTGGAGCTCGGAGGGATGCACAGAGGTTGACGTGGGGTGAGGGCAAGCTGATGGCCCCCTGGTACAGTGCTCTTTCAGGTTTCCTGGGGAAGCCAGCACCAACTTGTTGTTTTCTCCTTTCTCTTTATTGTGGTTAAAACACACTCACCAAAGCGTTCGCCAGCCCAACTTCCGCACTTACAATTCAGTGGCATGGATGACATTTTCCACATCGTGTTACCATTATTGCTATCCTTTCCCAAAATATCCCACTCCCTTTAATATAAACTCAACACCTCCCAAAAGTCTCCCCCTTCTTCCCACTCCTGGTAACCACTAACAGGGTGGAATTGAAGGTGGTTGTTGTTGTAAAGTGTCGTAGATTTGGTTCTGACTCATAATAAGGTTTCCAAGGCTGTTAATCTTTTCAGGAGGAGAAAGCCTCATCATTCTTCCACGGAGTGGCTGGTAGGCTCAAACCATCGACTGTGTGGTTCATGTTGTTGTTGTTGTGAAGTGCTGTTGAGTTGATTCTGACCCATAGTGACCCTGTATAGGGTTTCCAAGGAGCAGCTGGTGAGCTTGAACCACCAACCTTGCAGTTCAAATGACTTTGCAGTCTGATGCATTAGCTCATAGTGCCACACCAAGACTCCATAGTCCAGTGTTTATCCTACAGAGCCACTACACTCCAGGGAGGGGCAAAGTCTTCAAAAAGTTCAAGGGGAAATTCCATTATCTTTCAATTTCAGTTTTTTCCACAAAAAATTTGAAGCCCCCTCACAATGTTTGGTTTCCATATATTACTTTATTTCATATAAATAAGATCATATAGTGTTTGTCCTTTTGGGACTAACTTGCTTTGCTCAGCATGATGCTTTTAAGGTTCATCTGTGTTGTGGCACACATCGGGACTTCATTTCTCTTCATGGCGGAGTCATATTACATCCTTTGTATAGCATATATACCACAGTTTATTTATCTATTCATCTGTTGTTCATGGACCCATTAGAGTTTTCAAGGGTGAGTAGGAGTTCACCGGCTGAAGTGATAGGTTAAAACAAGGTGCTCCCAGAGGAGGAACGGCAAATGCTGGATGTGAGTGTGTGTGAGACCCTGCGGTTTGTTCTGGGACCTGCAGGGCCGAAGGAAGGGAAGTGGCAAGCTGGGCAGGACCACAATAGGAGAGACCACAGCTGAGAGACTTAGAATTTATCCTGGGGAGACAGGCCCAGCTGAACCTGCCAGTCCTTCAGCTCTCAGATGCGAAAATTAAGATCCATGCTCAGACCTTGCTTGGCGGCCTCTTAGATTTCCAGCCAGGAAACCCTGCTTCCTCTTCTAGCCACTCTTGAGCTGCCCACACCTCTCTACCTGGAGTCCTCAGAGAAGACCAGGCCACCGGCTCCCACTGGAACGCCCCAGAAGTCACCTGTCCTTATCTGTTGGTGAGTTCAGGACCCAAGGGAACAGAAGGAGTCAACTGAGACCCCCGAGCAGAGCAGGTCTGAGTTGCCATTTGGGCCTGTGGGTGGGATGGACTTAAGTCTGAATCGAGGCTTTGTTTCTGCTTTGCTAGGGGACTTTGAGCAAACAGCTCACTTCTGCAGAGATGCCAATGGTAGTCACTGCCTGGGGCCTAGGAGTTGTGTGAAGGACGCTGATCTCTGAGCAAACTGAGGCTGAAGAGGGTGAATTCAGGCAGGAGTGGACAGGCTTAATGTGACGGGAAAGGCAAGAATGGAAACCAGGAAGCTGGGGAGGAGGCTGGGAGAGGAAGTAGGAGGCAGGTTCAGAGCCATGGGCATCAGAGACAGGAGAAGGGACAGAGGACAGGGGTGAAAGGCAGGAGGTGAGGACCGATGTGCTGGGAGAGATAAAGTGGGGTGAGGACAGCACCCCAGGTCTGATGGCATAACTGGGTGGACAATGGGCTGTCCCTGAAATGAGCAAGCTGGGAAAAGTTGATGGTTGAGATGAAGAAAGAAATTGGCTAAGACTCTACAAGTGAGAGAGGCCCGAGGACACCGGGGCAAGTGGCCAGAGCAAGTGGCTAGGAGAGGACGAAGCTCACAGTCAGATGGAGGAGACAGTGTGTGAGGCTTGAGTTTAAGATCAGATGGAGGAGACAGTGCGTGAGGCTTGAGTTTAAGATCAGATGGAGGAGACAGTGCGTGAGGCTTGAGTTTAAGATCAGATGGAGGAGGCGGTGCCCACGACCTGAGTTCAGGGTCAGATGCAACAGTGGTGGTTGAAGTTGAAATTTGGGGTCAGATGGATGGAAGAGTAATTTAGGGTCAGATGGAAAAGGCAGTACAAGCTTGGTGATTGAACCATTATGTTTGATGTGAGAAGGACAGGTCAGTCCAAGTGCCAATAACTTGGGGAAGCTGAGCACAGAGGGTGGAGGAAAAGGGGGTGCATGAGGCTGGAGAGGGGGTAGGGGACGGAAACAAGGTAAGGAACACAGGCTGAGGGGTTCAGACTTCGTTCCCAGGACTCTGGGGAGCACTGGGAAGATGGTGAGCAGGAAGAAAGACCCCTTTAGGGCTATGGTAGTGGTGGTGGGGCTGGATCAGTCTCCTGTGGCTGCCGTAGCAAACTATGCCCTTGGGTGGCACATGTGGTTTATACTCAGGAGCTAAGCACTAGACTGCTAACTGCAAGGTCAGCAGTTAAAACTCCCAGCCGCTCCTCAGAACCTCTCGATGGCATTTAACAACTAGCCTAAAGGTTAGGAGTCATGGTGTGGCGCTGCAGGATGATGCGCTGGTCCGCAAGGTCAGTTTGAACGTCAAGGTAGGCTCCTCGGAAACCCTATACAGGGTTATGTGCTGAATCACTGATACTTAACAGCAACAGCCACCTCAAAATTGGCAGTTTGAATCCACCCAGAAGAACCAAGGAAGGAAGGTTTGGCCATTGGCAAAAAGCAAAGTGTCAGCAGAGCCAGAAGATTCTAGAGGAAGACCCTTTCTGGCTTATTCCAGCATCTGGTGGTTTCTGGCATTGCTTGGCATCCCTTCGCTTGTGGCTGCATCGCTGCAGTATCTGCTTACTCCGTCACCTGGCCATCTCCCCTCCCTCTCTCTGTGTCTCTCCTCGTCTTCTTCAAGGATACCACTCATTTTAGATTAGGAGTCCCTCTACCTAATGGCATAGTGGTTAAACACTGGGTTGCTAACTGAAACGTTGGAGGTTCTAATCCACCAGCTGCTCCAAGGGAGAAAGATTGTGGCAGTCTGCTCCCCTAAAGATGACAGTCTTGGAAAGCTATGGGGGTGATTCTAGTCTGTCTTATAGGGTCGGTAAGCGTCTGAATCGACTTAAAGGCAACAGGCTTGGTTTTGGGTTTCTACTCCATTATGATCTCAGGTGAACTAAACACACCAGAAGTGGCCCTATTTTTAAACAGGTTCTAGGGGTTAAAACTTTATCATGCCATTCCGGGAGACAATTTCAATCCGTAACAATAAGAAACCCTGTTGGCATTGTAGGATAAGCACTAGAATACAAACCTCAAAATCATCAGTTCAAACCCACCAGCTGCTCCTCAGCACGAGGCTGTCTGCTCCCATAAAGACTTAGTCTTGAAAGCCCTATATAGGGTATAAGGCCACAATAAGTTAGAATCAACTCAGTGGTGGGTTTGGGGTTTCTGCTTTTGGTTACTTAATTCATAAAAGGAGGCTTGGTGGTGCTGCGGGTTAAGCATTGCGCTGCTAGCCACAAAGTCAGCAGTTCAAACCCACCAGCAGCTCTGCAGAAGAAGTGGCTGTCTGCTTCTGTAGAGAGTCCCTGTTTGGGGAACCCCGTGGGCAGTTCTGCTCTGCTCTATGGGGTCGCTATGCGTCAGCACTGACTTCACAGCAGTCCGTTTGGGTTTATTCAATCCACAGCAGCAATCCTGAAGAGTGAGGAGAACTGTGACGCTAGGTGGGAAACACCAGCTTGTACCAAAGCCTAGAAGGCACCCTAGTGGGGGCGCAGTTTAGCTTGAGAAGCATGTGAGAGATGAAGCTGCAGAGGCGGTTGGAGTCTTGGGTCTCAGGCTGAGGGGATGGGCTTTTTTTTCCAGGGGCACTGAGGAGCCATGGGAGAAGTGTGAGCAGGGGAGGGCAAGTGGGGTCAGCTCTGGGGATGCGTGGAGAATGGATTAGAGGGAGAGATGGGAGGCTGGGGAGGAGATGAAGATCCAGACAGAAGAGGATGAGGCCTGAATCTCGGCTGCGGTGTGGGGACCATGATGACAGGAAGCACTGAAGTCTGGAGATTGAGCGCTATGGGAGTCTGGCCTGGGTGTCCCTGAAACGGAGGACCTGGGCACACTGGAGGGACACTGAGCTGGTTGTGGATTGCTAATGTGAGGAACTTGGGTCCCAACAGGCTTGGCTGTTCCATGGAGAACCTATCAGTTGAGATCCAGCGGTCAGCACCCCCAGGAGCCCCGTGTCCACCCGGGGCTGTGCTGTTCCTTCTCTACTCCCTGGTCACCCTCACCGTATACCTTGTCGATGTGGCCAGTCATGGCCTGCTGATCCAGGTGGCTGGCCCTTGTCTGCCCCCTTCCCAGGCAGTTACCTGGTTCGGACACCAGGCTGTAGCCGATGCCACCTTCACTGTCCTCCTGCCGCTGACTCTCACCTGGACCAGTTCTGCCTGGCCCCTGGGGGGCGCATTCTGTCATCTGGACCCTCATCTGGCTGTCCTGACCTTCTATGCCAGCGGCCGCCTGCTGACCCACACCACAGCCGATGCCTTCACTGCGCTGCTCCAACCGACCTGGGCACTGACCCACCGCCGGGCTCGGAGGGCAGTGTCTTGGGCTGGTGGGGTTTGGCTCCTTCTGCTGGTCCTGAGGGAACCCTCTATGCGGGCTTTAGAGGGGCGAGGACACTGGGATGAGCCTTCTAATACATCTGCAGTGTTGCAGCCTGGCTGCACCCCAGACTTGGGGTTTCCCGGTCCGGCCCTGAATCAGCTGGTATTTGGCTTTGGGATACCACTTGGAGTGTTGAGTGCCATCCGAGAGCTCATGGGGGTCTGGCTGAAGCTGGCCAGGTTGACCGGGAGGCCCCCACCACTGGGGGCACCGTGGGCCTTAGGGGTCGGGCTGTTTCTCTGCTGGTTCCCCTTCCACCTGCTGCTTTTGCTGCAGCTGTTGGGGTCACGGGAGGCAGGGCTGGGCTTAGGGGATGTTTGGGTGCTGCTCAGACCCTTAGGGTTCACCATGGTGGGGGCCAGCAGCTCCCTCAACCCTCTGCTCTATGTGTTTGGGGGTCAGGTCTTCAGGCAGCGACTGTACCAGGCTCTTCGGACCTGTGGTGGCTGGGGGTGGGGAGAAGGAGGTGGGTGAGAAGGGGCTTCAGGTAGAAGTTAGACTGGTCTGACCTTAGAGGAGTTCTCAGGGGGCTGCAGGAAGTGGGGGAGGGGGACGGTGGATGGCTGTCTCCCATCTCTTCCACCTCCCGGGAAGGGGAGACGGTGAGATTCAGTGTGAGATGAAGGGAGTAGACAGATAGACAGATGTAGACAAAGGGAGACAGAGATGGAGGGAGAGAGGACAGAGACCCAGAGAGACAGGGACAGAGACCCAGAGAGAGAGGGGCACAGAGACCCAGAGAGAGAGGGGCACAGAGACCCAGAGAGAGAGGGGCACAGAGACCCAGAGAGAGAGGGGCACAGAGACCCAGAGAGACAGGGGGACCGAGACCCAGAGAGAGAGGGACAGAGACGGAGGTGGAGGCATAAAGCCAGAGAGAACACAGAAGCTGGAAGAGGAGACATGCAGAGGGAGGACCAGACAATGATGCAGACAGGATGGAAATGCAGGAGGCAGACGAAGCCAAGGTGAGGAGGTGAGAGACAGGGCAGGATGAAGAGAGGGATCAGGTGGGAGACGAACAGAAAAAGATGTGGAGACAAAGGCCCAGTGAGACACAGGATCACAAAGTGCGTCAGTGAAGGATGGTTATAGAACCGACACGGAGCAGAAGAGTGGGGAGACAGGGCCAAGACAGACAGATGGACGGGCGATAGAGACACAGAGACCAAGATTTAGACCACAGACAGACTGATAGACACAGAGAGACAGAGTCAGAGACACAGAGACAGACACGGATCTACACTAAGGGGCTTCAAAAATCCTGTGGAAAAATACCATTATCTTTTCATTCCATTTTCCCACGAACTGTTTTGAAGCCCCCTCATATAAAGACAGGAGTCCTGGAGTGGCGCTGTGGGTTAATACAGTTTGAACCACAAGATCGTTAGTTCAAACTCACCAAGCGCTCCTCGGAAACCCTATACAGGGTGGCTATGAGTCAGAACCGCCTCCATGGCACTTCACAACAACAACATACAAAGACAAGTGTATGAAAAGAGGGTAAGAATTGGCCTATGTGGGACTAGGGTGACCAATTGTCTCGATTTTCCAGGGACTAAGAGGAGAATACCTAGAAAACAGTACTTTAAGAGTTTAAACAAGAAAAATCCCAGGCATCCCACGTACACAGAATACAGGCCAGAGCTGGGCCTAGAGAACAGGGCACGGAATTTTCTAGAGAGGGTCCTAAGCCCACCCAGTGGCTTCCCAGGGTTAGTGACCAATTACCCTCGATTCCTTCTGCGGAAGGCAGAAACACGAAGGCGCCTCCTAACCGACCCTCCAGCGCCCCCTGCCGCGGAATCCATCTGGTTCGCTTTTTCTCGTTTTCTAAACCCCACAAAGGACGTTCCCCAACATAATTTTCTCTGACGTTATCCGTGGAACTACCAACGCAGGCCTCTGAAATGCACCCACTCTGAGTGGCGGAATCTCTTCGGTCTTTTGAGGACGCATTAGCCAAATGCCTCCTGACCTTCACTGCATGTTCGAATCTCCCCAGGGGAGATTTTAAAACGAAATTGATGTCTGGGTCCCATCCCCAAGGCGCTGTGGTTTCAGTGGTCCGTGGCGAAACCCGGCTTTGGGAGTTTTAAAAGCTCCCCAAGGAATCCCCAGGCATTGCTGACTGAGCCCCATCCATCTCCCTGCGTGCCTGCGGTTGTAGCAACCGAACCTTAAAGGCTCCCAGCGGACTGAGCCTCTCAGAGTTAAGTGATCCAGAACTCCTGGGGCGGGGGAAGGCCACGAGGGAGCGCTTTGTCGATATTTACTTCTTTCGGTATTTCTGTCTGAAGTATCAGATGCAGACGATTAACAGAAGGTTGGCAGTTCGAATCTATGCAGAGGTGTTTTGCAAGAAAGGTCTAGCAACCTACCTCTGAAACCTCAGCCGCTGAAAACGCTGTGGGGTACAGTTCTACTGTGACACACATGGGGTTACCATGAGTCAAAATCCACCCCATAGCAAGTAGTGTTGGTATGTTCTTTGTGTTAGCTGCCTTTGAATCTGCCCCTTGACGCATGGCAACCCCGTGTTACAGCATCGAACTGACACACCGTTTTAATCATTACGGAAGCCGATTGCCAGACCTTTCTTCCGCGGTGCTGCTGGGTGGCTTCCAATCACCAATCTATTTTTAGATGGTAATCAAATGCAAAACATTTATACTCCCCGGGTGTACCTGGGTACTGATGTACTATTACAGAGTGCAAAATATCAATATGTTTATGAATTATCTTGAACTACTGCTGTTTCTGAGTCCAGCAGGAGTCAGACCCTATCCTGCACATCTTATCCCACAGTCCCAGCCATGAACGGACTTCTTGTTCTGTGTCAAATTGGTACTGTTATACGACTTTATGGCACAACAGAACAAAGCACTGCCTGGTCCTGGGCCAACCCCACAATCGTTACTACGTTTGAGCCCACTGCGGCTGCCACTGTGCCATCCATCTTGGTGGGAGAAAAGCAATTACTAGGAGACTGGGGAGCTCAGCTGGAGAAGTTCAGGTGTTGGAAGGGGTCTGAGGAAGAGTTCCTGGGGAGATACCAAATGCAAGTTGGGAAATAACACCGAGAAAGAGTCTCAGCCTGTGCAAAGATGTTTCTTCTTCTTTTGTTAACCTTTCCTGAGTTACATGTGGTTCAACTTGTAAATATACTAGGCTACTCATTCCAAATTGAAGGGTCTAGTTCACCCAGAAGCACCTCGGAAGAAACGACTGGTGATCCATGCCTGAAAAACAAGCCATTAAAAACTCTGTGGAGCACAGTTCTACTCCGACGCCTGGAGTTGCCCTGAGTCAGACACACTAGATGACAACCGTTTTATCTGTGTTATTTGTGGCTGAAAATAGAGCATGGAGGGGGCATGGGAGGTGGTGCGGAGGATAAAAAGACTGGAGGAATAGTGACCCCTCCCTCGTGGGATGCAGACCACGTAGGGCAATACTGTCAGAAGGGGTGACTCCAAAATAACTGTCTATAAAATTTTTGTGTAGTGTTTCAGGAGAAGTTTAAAAAAATTTTTTTTTTAATCCCTGTAGTTATAACAACAAAAACATTTTTTTTAAAGTCCAGTTTACATGTACTAAAATACCTACAAGGCTAAAACTCCCCTGGTGTGGCGCTGTAGGAAAAGCATTGGACTGCTAACTGCAAGGTGGGTGTGGTTCAAATCCACCAGCTGCTCCTCTGAAACCCTATACAGGGTCGCTATGAGTTGAACCTACTCCATAGCACGTAACCACATGCTCTAGCCACAAATATGCTTCCGGTCATATGGTTTCATCTGCATGTGGTACGAGCATGTGCTGTTTTTGTGGGTGCTGGGTGTTTTTTATAGTCATTGATTTTGTCAAAACTTTCTTGTACGGGAGGAGGTTCAAAACCAAGTGTGTGTGTGTGTATGTGTGTGACACCATGTTACCACACTGGGTGACACCAACCCAGGGCACACACAAACCTAACACAGGCTGAGGGGCGGAGACTCCTGTCAAGGTACGGGGATTGGGGAGCCCAGTGAAGGTGGTGTGGCCCTATAGGGTAAGCACTGGACCTCAAAAGGTGGGTGGTTTAAACTCACCAGCCAGCTCCTCAGAAATCCTATGGTGGTGGTGATGTGCCGTGGAGTCGGAACCAACTCATAGTGACCCTGTACAGGGTTTCTGAGGCTATAAATCTTTATGGGAGCAGAAAGCCTCATCTTTCTCCCGCGGAACAGCTGGTAGTTTCCAGCTGACCTTAAGGTTCGCTACCAGAGCTCGCTAAGAGGTGGAACCAACTTGACCGCACTGAACAAGTGAAGGTGGTAAGCAGGGAGCCTGCAGGGTCAGCCCTGGATACAGAAAGACCTTTCTTGCAGAGACTGAAGGGGAAAGATGGGAGGCTGGGGAGAAAGCCCAGGAAAGGAAGTCCCTAGACAGAGAGGGAAGAAACAGTATGAATCTATCCTTCCCTATCCCTCAACATTTCAGAATTTTGATTTTGTCGTTCATTCCCTTCCAGAACTCAATACTCAGGACGATTGACTTTGCCTCAGAAAATAGTCCAACATCGCCCTCGTGTGGTAATTTCGAGTTTTGCAAGTAAATAAAAAAAAAAAAGTTGACCTGGTGTGGGCTCTTGACTCACACAATAGCATGTTAGCAGAACTGTGCTCCACACGGTTTTCAGGGACTGATTTTACATAAGTAGATCGCCAGGTCTTTCTTCCAAAGCACCTCTGGGCAGACTCTAACCTCCAACACTACTCCAATAAAACCAACACAAAACACACACACACACACAAAACCTCCAAACCCACTGCTAGCCAATAATAACTTCTGACTCATAGTGACCTTATAGAGCGTTTCCAAGACTATACATCTTTATGGGAGCAGCCAGCCTCATCTTTCTCCTGAGGAGTGGCTGTTGTTGTTGTTGTTAAGTGCCGTTGAGTTGGTTCCGACTCATAGCGACCCTGCATAGGGTTTTGGAGGAGCAGCTGCTGTACTTGAACCACTGACCTTGCAATTCAAACAGCTTTGCAGTCTGGTGCATTAACTAACCCACAGCGCCACACCAGGACTCCTGAGGAGTGGCTGGTGGGTTTGAACTGCTGACCTTGCCATTAGCAATTCTGTTTCTAACTCCCTCTATCAATAAACCCCTATTGCTGTAGTCATTCTGATGCATAGTGACTCTTCATGACAGAGGAGACCTGCCCCATAGGGTTTCCAAGGCTGTAACTTTTTATGGAAGCAAACTGCCTCATCTTTTTCCCCTGGTGTTGCTGGTGGGTTCGAACTGCCCACCTTTTGGTTAGCAGCTGAATGCTTTTCATCAATGTGTCACCATTAGCATGGCTTTATCCCCCAATCAGAGTGCTTCTGAGAAATAAAGGGACTGCTCTTTATAATTACTCTGGAACAAATGGCATAATCCTATGCCTCAGCCCGAAAATCCTGGGACATTCGGTCACCCTACT